CACAGCCATTAAAATGCATATTTGCAAAATCCTTTCCTCCTGAAGGCTCCTCTCCGAGTCCCTCTATTTTTTTAATCCCCAGCAGGAGTTATTACGTGGCATCAGCCACAAATGGTGACATCTTTTGACAATCTTTGTGGCTGTGCTGCGTTCCTGCACACATGGCTGAGCACAGGCTCTGATGCAGCTCTGCCACTGCCAAGGGCACTGGGTTCCAGTTCAGCCCTGAGAACGAATCCCCTGGGCCCACCTCCAGTTTTAAACACATGGATAAGAAGCCAAATTAGAACTGGAAGAATCTAGAGCGGGTCTATCAGTATTTTACTTCTGTTTACTGGTTGTAGAGAAGGATATTTTGTTATACAGATATCACAGATCTACTTTTTCACATTCTTTCATGCATTACATTAATTAACAATTATTAGCAGTTCTGTGATTCTATAAAATGCTTTTTTTTATTCAGAAATACCTATTTTAGTGTTAATGTGCTGGTAACCTTGTGTCAGCATTTGGCTTGCTACAAGGCACTGAAAGGTACTGATTGTCACTGTTCTGCAGTATCAGTCTGAGGAGCAGAGATTTTATTTGGCTTTACAGGCGCATTTGTAAGTCACTGAGGAGATTTTAGACCAGGAGGAGCCTTTTGTTAAGCTGGATATTCTGGGACAGCTGTACTGGAACCAGTGGAACACTCCAATAACAGCAGAGTTTGCCCATAAGTACACCTACAATGTATGCAACATTGTGAATAACCAGTACAAAACCCCTTAAACTACAGGACTTTTTTAGGTAGCACTTTGTGTTGTTCATTATATTTCATTAACCAAATTACATCATTTCAGTCAATGAATTGCTCTTGAGAGGAAAAAAACACAAACTCCCTATTAATATAAATCTGGCATCACTGATACCAGACACCACTGAATCACCTAAAATGAATAAATGAATGTTGAAATTTATTCAGCCAAGTACCACCTTCTCAGGGTCCCACATAAGGTTGCTTCCAGTGCCTAAAGGGAGCTTCCAAGAAAGCTGGATTGTATTTGTAGCTTTCCAGTGAGGCTTGCACAAGTTTGTGCTGGCAGTCAGAAAATCTTCTATAAAACACAGCTGAGTAAAAAAGCTATACAAGCTGAAAATAATGCAGATTAATGTATTTAGAGATTAATGTATTTACAGATTAATGTATTTACAGTTTATCATGGTTATACTTACAGTTTATTGCACTGATCCAGGGGAGATGCTGCTTTATGAAATGCAGAAATGCAGGCTTGAAAACAGGGCAATTCCAAATGTTACAGGTAAAAGCACCGAGAGTTATTTACAGACAAAATATTATTATCCATAAAAGGCAAAAGGCACATTTCCATTTGTCTGTCAGTTTGGCTGAGGAGAATGTTTTTGAGCTGCATCTCCTCAGTTTTCCCATTTATTGCACTGTGGTTCACATTGCTGAGCAGTCTTGGAGCACTTGAGGCTGGGTTGCTTTTACACAACACTAAACCAGAGGAGCTGTTCCAGGGACAGATACCAAACTAGATTAAATTCAAAGTAAAACTCCTAAAAGACGTACAACAAGGCCACCAGATCTTCAGTGCCAGCTTCTTTCTTTTTTTTTTTTCCCCCCTTCTGCAGTTTAATTCCTCTTACACTGTACTCCTGACTAAGAGCAGAGATTCCTGCTCTCTTTCTATCCAGAGCTCCTTTCCAGCACTATTTTGCTGGAAAACTTATTTTTCCATTCAGAGGAGAGCTTAGCTGTACTGAACAGCACTTTTATGTGAGCTAATCCTTCTCCTTTAATGAATTAAACTTGTTTCTTCACCCTCCTTTTCAAATAAAGGGGATTTTTCACTCGCTGCAGCATCTTTCAGAGCAGCAGTGCTACAGGGGTAAGCAGGACCTTATGAGGATCAAATCTAGGCAGATGATAACAAGCATTCAGTCACTTGTTGTTGTCAACAGTAGCATGAATTTCTCAAATGAAAAGAACCAAGATGAGATGCAGGCAAGGTGTTTGCTCCTGTGCAGGTGGTGGCACCAAGGGGCTGAAGGACTGGGGTTAACAGATGGTGTCAGGTGAGGAGGTTAATGGAAAAGAATTTTGTTTTTCAGGTCACTTAATGAAAGTAACCCTGGAAGAGCTCAGCAGAGCCCTTGGGGTGGAATAAATTATTCCTCTTCTGCTTCCATCACTGCAGGTTAGCCCAAGACACAGGAGAAGGTGATCTAAACATGAACTCAGCTGGGCAGAGCATCACAGGAGGAACATCAGTGCTGTTGTGATCTCTGCTGCCCCTCCAGGGACAGAACACAGCCCTTAAGCAAAGGCTTTGCATAGCCACAGCTTTAAAACAGATAGTTTGTGGTGATGCAGGTTATCAAAAAACAGTGTATGAGAAGACAACAAAAATATTTATCACAAGACAGGCAATTTTGGGCCAATCCATGGCCTTTGGGTCAGGCAGACACAGAACAGAGGCTGCAGCAGCCCCTGGTCACACTGTCCCTGTTCTGTGCTGTGCTGGTTTGCTTTGCTGCTCAGAAATAATCCTGTGACTGGAGCCTTGCACTGATCTGCTCCTTGGAGCCTCTGTGTGCCTGCACCACCATTTCCCCCTTTATCCCTTAATTTGAAGTTCTGTGAGGTGCCCAGGAGAACACACCTCCCCTACCAGCGCTCCAGTCCTCACAAGGCAGTGCTCTGATTTGGGGCTGAGGCTTGTGATCCCAGCCAGAAAAGGGATGAAGATCACTTCATTCCATCCCAAACCATTCTGAGTGCTCCAGATCCATATTTAGACAGCTCTGGAGCAGACAGGAGTAGCACTATCCCCACCTGTAACATCACTACCCTCTCCTCCAGTGCCCATTTCATATTCTGAGCAACATGAATTCCTCATCTGTGTAAAGCTGAAAATCTTTCTCGCAGCCCTGGGTACAATAACTTCCATATAGAAAAACAAGATTAAACCTGACAGTAATAGAAGTGATAGAGGAGGAAAAGTGTTCTTCCTTTGAGGCACAGGCTCTGAATACAGCAGCCAGGCACTGATTGAAAAAAGGCAGGAAGAAAGATAAATGCAGTTGTAGTCAAGCATCAGGTCTTGGGAAAAAAAAAAAAAAGCTTCTAAGAAAGAGAAAAAAAGAAAACCCCACAACTTTCTCTTGACATTTAAGAAACTACCTAAACAAGCTAAGCAAAGGGAAAGGAAGAGAGAGCAAGACCTTACACAGAGAGCTGCTTTCAGCCATTTGTTACTGGATATCTTAAAATACATTTATCCAACCTTGCTAAGAGCCACCAAGCCCTCCATGACCCACAGCAAATCCTCAGGACTGCTTTCTCTCCCTCCTGCCTCTGTGGGCACCAGCCTGCTTAGCAAAGCCCCTCCACACCCAGGAGCCTGCAGGCTGCCAGGGATTTACTCCTCATGTGCCACATCTGGGGGAGCAGATTTGTTCCCCAAAATGCCTGCAGGCTGCCAGGGATTTAACTCCTCATGTGCCACAGCCAGGGGAGCAGATTTGTTCCCCAAAATGCCTGCAGGCTGCCAGGGATTTAACTCCTCATGTGCCACAGCCAGGGGAGCAGATTTATTCCCCAAAATGCCACCAGGCTCCTGTGACTGACCCTGTGAGCACCTTTGGGAGTGTGTTGTGTGCTGTCACACTGTTACATGTAAGGATTTATTGATCAGCTTTGGCTCTTTAGTGTTCTGCAGCCCCTTAACTCCCAGGAAACTGAGATTCTGAGCCTGGAGGTCTCACCACCAGCCTTAGGTGTGTCCTGCAGAGGGGTTTCTTACCTCACACTCCTCCATCACTTTGCTCTTGGATTTAAGCAGGCTGAGGAACATTTCCTGCCATTAGGACTCTTTGGCAGCAGTTTCTCCAAGACATCTCTGATAGTGCCAAGGGAGCAGACCCCCTGTTCCCCAGCTCAGCTGTGCCCCCTGGAGCAGCAGGATGTGCCAGGGCAGTGTTGGGCACTGATTAACACACAACAAAGAGAGCTGCCTGCCTGCAAATGGAAACACACTGGGTGCTTGCATCTAACAGCATTCCCAGCTAATTTTACACTCTGCATATAGTAATAAGACACAACAGGGTGTGCATTAAGCTCATCCTTTGAGAAGTGCAGCAGTAGCTGGATAATGCACACCCCGGAGTGGCTTATTTGTAGTGGACTATGGCTCATTAATTTTACATTTATTTTTTTTCAAATCCATTCTAAAAAAACCTACAAGTCTATTCTGAGGGCAGTTAAGTAATGTATCCTTACACTGAAAAAATATTTTCAAATAAAACAGTAGGCAAAAGTGAGGAAGAGTTCTGCCCAACTGCAGACCAGGGTTTGGTGTGTGCAGGATCTGCTTTGAGCAGATTCTTGGCCTGCTGATGCAGATACATGGTGCAAATCATGGTAGTTATGGAAATCTATTCTGTGTCCACTCTTTTCTAGGCTTTTCTTTCTTTTTGTGTAATTACCTGGGCCTTTTTTCTTCCTTTTTTTTGCCCTCCTTTTTTTTCTGTTTTTTTTTTGTTTTTTTTTTTGTTTTTTTGTTTGTTTGTTTGTTTGTTTTTGGTTTTTGTTTTTCTTTCCTTTTTGTTTTGTTTTTGTTTGTTTATTTGTTTTATTTTGGTGGATTTTTTGTTTGTTTGTTTTATTGGTTTTTGTTTTTCTGTTTGATGTATGAATGTATGAGCCCATACCCATTTCAGACCAGATTCACATTTGGATGGGGATGGGACTGACTTTTACACCAGACTGGGAAGGAGTGGTCAGGAGGCAGATTTCCAGGATTTGGGAGGAAAATGCTTTTCCCAGAATAGCAACGTGTGGCTAAGCCTGCATACAGCAGCAATTACAGCACAGAGGGTGCCATAAACCCCATTTTGTTACGACGTCACTCCCAAAGTATGAACGAGGGACTCCTAAATCCTGCTGCTCCACGTGAGATGTGACTTTTCCCCTGGTGGTTTATCCCTCCCTGCAGGTTCCAACGCTGATGATGGACACCCAGTTTTCAGAGTTCACCCCAGATATCACCCCCATCATGCTGGCGGCTCACACCAACAACTACGAGATCATCAAACTGCTCGTCCAAAGGCGGGTGACCATCCCACGCCCGCACCAGATCAGGTGCAACTGTGTGGAATGTGTCTCCAGCTCCGAGGTGGACAGCCTGAGGCACTCCAGGTCGAGGCTGAACATCTACAAAGCCTTAGCCAGCCCTTCGTTGATTGCCTTATCGAGCGAGGATCCCATCCTGACCGCCTTCCGCCTGGGCTGGGAGCTGAAGGAGCTGAGCAAGGTGGAAAATGAGTTCAAGGCTGAGTATGAAGAGCTGTCCCAGCAGTGCAAGCGTTTTGCTAAGGACCTTTTGGACCAAGCACGGAGCTCCCGGGAGCTGGAGATCATTCTCAATCACAGGGATGATCAGAGCGAGGAGCTGGATCCCCAAAAGTGTCATGATTTGGCAAAGCTGAAGGTAGCAATAAAGTATCACCAGAAAGAGGTAAGACCCACCTAAAGGTGAAGGTATTGGGTGAAAGAATTCATTTCTTGAGTTGCTGTGGGTTTGTTCAGTGCTGGCTCTCAGGTGGGAGTTTTTGATGTGCACGGGGATTGGTCACAAACCAGGAGGCTCAGGGCGCCTTGGTGACAGCATGAATCTGACAACAATTGAGGGTAACAGGACTGGGACTTGCTGCAGTGGGCTGTGGCTTCTACAGCACCAATAATTTCTGTCTCAAAGCTGCTTGAATCCCACCTCATTGTGCCCCTGCAAGGAACAGCCTCCAGACATTCCCAGGTTGCTCACTCTGAAAGCTTTTCCCAGGGGCTGCTTTTGGACAGGAACCCAGAGCTAGAAGGGGCTGGCTCCTGAACACTGGCTCCCTCATGGAGGGCAGGAAATCATACAGCACACAATTCACTTCCTGCAGCCACCAAGCACTTCCAGGCACCCATTCAGCACCAGCTCCAAAGGGCCAGAGATGAGACAGCAGCTAAAGAGAGCAGGAGAGGCTGGGGACACCCCCAGAGTCCCAGGTCTCCAAATTACCAGCAGTCTTGTAAAAACACTCAGTGGTGCAACTGTTTATTCACACCTGTGACACCTCTTGATCCTCAGTCCTCGACCCATCTCTGTTTTAGGAGCTGAGAAGCAATTCCCAGAAATTCCAACTCCTGCCCCAAGGTCCAGAGAGGGAAGCCACACTTGAGCTAAAGGGCACAGAGCCTTTCAGAAGCCCTCAGATCCACAGATTTATAAGTTGATTCAATAAAGGCCACAAACCCCAGGAGAATGCTGACAGCAGTTTCATTAGTTGGCTCTGGATTTCCTTTCTCTTTCCAAATCCAGACAGAATTTAAGAGATGATAAATTGCTGTTGGCCAGCGATGTTCCAGGTTATCTGAAGGAGGAATTCACTTGCTTGGAGGAGGAACTGAATTTCAATGTGCATTACATTCCTCTGTGTGGAGGGCCACCTGAGTGGCAGAAGATCCTGTCACATTCCTCTTTCCACTGCTTTCCCCACATCCAACACTGACCCAGCATGGTGTGATCCATCTCACCTCCCTGAAGGGCTGAGAGGTGAAAGATGCAGATTTCCTTTCATGTTGTGCCCCCCTGTGCCAGCCCCTCCATGCCATAAGCTGGAGCCAAAGCCTCAAACTTCCTGGGATCCAGCACTTGGCAACTCCCTGCTCTTGCTGGGTTGCTCTGGGGGAATGTCAGCTCACTGGAGTCATGTCAGGTTGGTTTTTGCTCTGTGACAGGGTTGGGTAACACCACAAGTGCTCTAGGGACACGGACCAGCAGTGAGGAGTTACTCTGGAGAAGGGCACCCCAGGTAATCAGGTCAATGTTCACTGGATCTGAGAAGGAGCAGAGATTCTGCTTCTGGTTTTGCACTACCCCAGTGCTCCTGTGTGCAGGTCCTTGCTGGTCCCACTGTGTCACTGGTGACATCCAGGTGTCAATCTGTGCCTGCTCTTGTCTTGTGTTCACACTCAGGAGCTGCAAGTCTGAAGCAGCTCACTGTGTTTGAAACGTGGTGCTGAACAGTGCTGGAGCTTTTTTAATTTTAAATTTTTTAATCGTTGCCTGCTTTCTTGACAGTTTTTATCTTTTTTTTTTTTTTTTTAAGGCGTACTTGACTGAATTCCAAGCATATGGACAAATTCCATGTTTTGTGACATATTCATGACAGTTCCAGCCTAAAAATGATAGCAAATACGCTCTGTGTTGCCAGCTAAAGTCAGTGCTGTTTTCAGGTGGAATACTGGTGGGCAGGGGCAGAGTGAATGAGACTGGGGAAGCAGCTGCTGAACCCTTCCATCCCACCTGGTTATTCCCAAAACCCTGAAGCATCCTGCAGGGTGGCTGGGGTTTTCTTACCATAATAATTAGGCCATCTTATCGTGGCAATTAGCACAACACAAAACATCAAGCAAGATACAAACACCCTTGCCAGCTTCTGAAAAAATGAGTAGGAACCTTTGCCAGGGAGACGCTGAGAAATGTTTTTTAATCCTGACTGAAGAGTATCAGACTGAGAGGATTTTTGTGGGGACAGGAAGGGAAGCAGAATTGAGTTTGGTTTTCATGAAAGAAGGTTCTGCAGAGAAAAACAGCAGACTTTTAAAAGTAGATCATCTTGTTCTGCTGAAGCTTTTTATGTCTTAATGTTAAATGGGATTGGATTGGATTGGATGGAGAAGCTTTTTACACCTGAACATTGACAAAGATGAAAGTCAAATCTCTGGTAGCCTAAGAGAACAATCCAACGTGAACTTTGGGTATTTACTGGGGCGTCAATTGTTACTGCAGTTTTTAGTTCTCTATATTCTGCACAAACAATGTGCAATTTCATATTGATTTCAGAGAAATTTCCTGCAGCTTTTTCTCTTTTTGAGTGAAATTAACCTGAACCTGAAAATTTCTCCCCAAAATATGAAATGATTCCATTTCAGCTTAACCAGGCAGATAAGGTCAACTTCAAGGTTCTTCCCAGCGAAGTTGTCAAGGGGAGATGGGTGAAGAGATCATGGAGTTTGTCTTTACAAAGGCTAGGAAAATCTCCATTTATGTTTTGTTGGGGTTTTTTCCCCCAAAAAACCCCTTGGAAAGTACGAATTTTGATTACTCCCAAACATGACACGTACTAAATATTTTATAAACTGAGAAACGTGTTGCTCTTGAGGAAGAAGACCATTCTTCTTTGGAGGAGGGCCAAAACAATGGAGAATAAATTCGTTGCTTTTCCTGTTTGTTTTTAATAAGCCTGTAAATCCTAGAAGGTAAATTACTGTCTACACAGAACGAGGGGAAAAAAAAATCAATTACACAGGAAAGATTAAAATGTGCCCTAAGGTAGCTTTGTAGTATATTTTATGGCAGTAAATGGTAAAAACATGCTGTGCAATGTTCTCAAGCTCCCTCCCCCTTCTCATGTGAAGCGTAGAATGGTTGCCTACTCAGTTTCAATTTACTGTGATAATTTCTCTAGGAAATGGGAAGGACTCAATAGTTGTGATATCTGATTGCATGGCAGTCACAAAATCTGGGGAAAAAATGAGGACAGCACAAAACACAGTGGGACACAATGAGTTAGACCCAGCACAGACACATCAGTTCTCTCAGTCCACTGTTAAAGAAATTATTTTCCAAGAATTGCAGTAATTAAGGTCTAAGAGACCAGCAGGCTTTTCATAAATGTTCTGTAGTGTGTGACATTTGTCTTCATATTATTCCTTTTCTAGTTCTTTTATTCATGACTAATTTTGGAAGGAGAAAGGGTACTGAGGGCCTAATAGGAAAAGGCACAGCTCAGCTGTTGAGGATCAGTCTTCACTGTGCTCTCCTGGCACCAAATTAGCTCTACATTTGTTAATTTGTTTGCATTTCTAAGAAAAAATAGGGAAAAGTCATCTCTTAGGATCTTGCCAGTCCTGTAAAGCACAGTTGTGTATTCAGGGTATGTGGCTGGTTTAGGGAATCAGAGCAGAGGCAGCAGGCAAAGAAAATTTTGATGTCCTTTAAGTTTTTTTCCTTTGCCAATAATGTAAAACATCCATAGTGTAGCAGTGAGTCAGGTCTAAAAGGGCAGATTTCTGCTCATATTTAACATTCTGCTGAGCCACAAGAGCAGCAATACACATTCAGTTTATTCCTGCTCTCCATCACAGGTCATTCCCATCTCCAAAACGAAGTGAAAGATCACAGTAGTGGGGGTTTTAATGTATTTTTCTGGTGCTGGCAAATAGCTGGGCAAGTTTAGTTTATGTGTCTGTAAGAGGTTGCACAATGCAAGGCACTCAGAAAAAAACCCCATTATTTTATCTATGACTCTATTGCTTAGCACTTCCACAGAATTAGATCAAAGGAGTGCACAGAGAAATTCCTTCTCCAAAACCCTTAACCTCCATATCTCCTCCTCACTGTGCTCTAATCAATGGCAGGAAAGGACAGAAGCAGAATTGTTTGCTTTTCCAATTCAAAACCAGTGCTCTTTGCCGTTTTTCTCTGAAGGATGAAGCTTCAACAGCTTCAGTCCTGTTTTTAATTTTTTTTTTTCCCAGGACATTTACATAGACAAGCACCTCCTGAGATGCAGTTCTGAAGTGAATGAATAATCACTCCTGCCATGCCGCATATTTTTCCGCTGTGTCTTGACTCTTGTCAACTGTGTGGCTGCAGTCAGAAGCACAGCATCCCTCTCCAGGGAGCATGCATAAACCTGGGAAATTTCTGAGGGCACTTCACTTAGTGTATAAAAAGAGCTTATAAAAATATCAGAGATGCATGAAGAATGAAGTGCGAGGTCTGTGAAAATCAAAGCTCCTCGCCTGCGCCTTGTTTACCCGATTTGAAAGCCATTCAGGTATCTTGATGGATGGCCACAGATCTTTCTTTGCTTGCAGGCAAAGCTCAGTTATTCTCCTGTGGGTTTGTCTGTTTTCTTGCCATACTGCCTGGAGGAATAATGATAGAGGGCTGAATATTTGTATTGTGCTCTTCAAAGGCACAATGAAAAGTCTTGCTTGAGCCTGCACAGCTCAGAAGAGTAATAAAGAGGCTTTTACTTCCAGATTTCTAGAAGGAAATCAGGTCGTGAAAAGATCTTTATTAGGACTAAGTGAGGGAAGCAGAGCTGCTCCCTGTGGAAGCTTTTCTTGGTTTCTGGTGATCTGGAACACTGATATTCCTCAGTGTGTGTCCATGGTGAGGATGGTGTGGTCTGTCCCGTGCCACAAACCTGAATGTAAGTTTGGGGATTTCAAAAGCACTGAGTGTCCAAATGTGACCTTCCCTTTTCCAACAGCCATCCTTTCATTTGTTCACTGTTGTCTGCAGCAGTGTTCCCATCTGGTGTGTGAGCAGTGGCCTGTGCTAAATGAAGCTGTTTTCTCTCAAACTCCATCCCAGCAGCACTTGACCACCTTAGAAAATCTGTGAACGTGGCATAACTGAGCTGTTATCAGCAGCCTCACAGGCAGAATTTGGGG